GAGAGAGAGAGAGAGAGAGAGAGAGAGAGAGAGAGAGAGAGAGAGTAGTAGCTGGCCGGCTGGCTGGTTTGGTTAGCTTGGATGGCTGACAATGAGTGGCCGACTGGTGGCGGACACCGACCGACTGACTAGCACGGCTGTCTCCTCGAGGTTTCACAGTTAACGCGATTAACGCGATGCAACGCGCGACCGGCATACAGAGACCAAACGCCCCAACTATGCCCGTGGCTGATCTTCGATCTCTCGATCCTTTAACCGGCTTTGTCGTTTCGTAGCGGCGACGCGCCGTAGCGCCTCGTAGATCGTGCGTTCAGATACTTACATATAGGATAGGTTTTATCGCGAAGCTTTTGGTCGACGGAAATGGCCGGTCCCTTCAACGTTCGTGTCCATTCGTGTCCATTCGTGTCGCTGAACGAGTCATCGTTTCTAATTTCCGTTTCGTTACCGTGAAACCGCACGATGATCTTCTTCTCTTTTGTTCAAGTTGTGTAGCTTTCTCGCGCATCTCGTCATGCATCGCCGCCGCGGTTACGAATCGAGCTGCTGGCGTAATATATCGGTTTTATCACCGACTGTGGTCGAGTCGGTTTATCTTTCATTTTTACCGTAGACGATACGACGATAAACCGTTTTGTTTTTGTCGTTCGAACGAAATTCAAATTGTATCGCGTCCTGTCGTACCGTACCGTGTCGTGTCGTGTCGTATCGGTATCGGTATCGGTATCGGTATCGGTATCGGAATCGAATCGCGCGAAAATTTGGATGAGAGAGAGTATAGACGTGTACACGACGATCGAGTTGATTGATATTGCGAGTGCTTACTTTGATTCTTTTTTCGATACACAGGATGGTGCTGGTGGTGAACGGGGTCCTGCAGGAGGACATTCCAACGGATAGCAGGACCTTGTACGCGGCCCATCCGGTCTATCGCGAAACCGCTGCGCAACTTCATTCGATGCCGGCGAAATTGGTTGGTCCGATGGGCCTTCTTTACGTTCAACAACGAGAAATGGCCGCGACTCTGCCACACGACAGTGAGTAAAACGATTTACCTCGAATTTCGCATCAGTTTCCACATTTTTCTGTTTTTTGGTTTTCACTCTTTGCTTCTCTCTTCTTTTTTTACAGAAAACGTGAGCATCATTGGCTCGGATGACATGACTACTTGCATAATCGTCGTGGTGAAACATTCCGGTGAGCATTAGACGGGGACTCTCCGATGTGTGCAGCAGTACACGTGTCCTCGCCGTTACTTGGACAGTTCTGATTACTCTGCACAAAACACACGCTCTCTTGCTTGAACTTTTTCCGTTCGATGCATGCGAGCCAATGAACCCAGAGAACCCAGTAACGCGCGAGTATATCGATCGATATTCGAGTGGTTTCAAATTTAAACGTGTTCTGTTCGCACGATAGTCCAACGGAAGAACGGTAGAATGTATCAGCCTAAGGATATACTCATTGGTTAAATATTATTCGCGGGCAGGTTCGGGCGCTGCTGCGTTGGCGCATCTGGACGGTGCCGGGACCGAGGAGGCCGCGGCAGCGATGGTCCAGAGGGTGACCGAACTCGCTCTTGGATTTCCAGAGGGTCGTTTGGAGTTGCAGTTGGTTGGCGGCTACTCCGATCCGAGGAATTATTCCGAGGAACTGTTCTGCAATATTCTTTGTAAGTTACGCGGAAACACCCCGAGGATATACATATAGGGGAAAAGCATTTCTGTTCCGGTAAAACTTAAAACGAGACAACGAACCATTTTTGTGCGTTTTTTTTTTTTCGACACAGCGGCATTTCACAAGCAACCGGTGGAGATCGATTTGACCCTGTGCTGCGTGGGAGAGCTGAACACCACCGTAAGAGGCGGGATTCATTGGCCGGTAATTTACGGTATCGGATTGAACGTGAAAACGGGAGAAATCTTTCCGGCGACCTTCCCCGATAAAGGTCCCGATCAGGCGTTGAGGGCTGCCAGACAGTTAACCGGAGGCCAACAGGTGCGTATACTCGCACGTGCCGTACCTAGAGTCGTTTGCAAGCGTGCGTGTTTCATCGAGCCTACGATTCTCGATTCTGTCTGCAGGTTCTGGATGTCTATGACTGTACCCTCGGGCTGCTCCGAATCGGTCCGTTCAACTACGATCCTCTGCGAGGTGTCGATCTCTGGTTGGCTCAGTCCGATCAATTTATCCTGCAGCATCTCTCGACTGCGCCGGAAGTGGAACCCCCGCACTTTGTCTCACAGGTAACGACGACGTGACCGCTTCTACATGCACACGGTGTCACACCGTGTACCGTCTGTGTTTCGCCTGTCCGACGAATCTCAAGACGAGCACACAACTTGTTGTTTCAGGTTAGAGCGACGCTCAAGTATATACAGGACAATCAATTTCCGGCCGTGACCGTCTTTCGAGACAATAGACCGCATTACTATCGTCGGGATGAAACCACCGGTGTTTGGCAACCCATAAGATACTAAACACACCGCCTTGGCCGTTTTACGTTCGCTCGTCGACTCGCGCAGGAGAAACGACGAAAGACGGTTCACGAAATTATCCTGCCCGAACGATAGAGAATCCAAAAATAGCAATCGCGAGTCAACCGAGAGGAATTAACATTCTCGTAATTGAATCGGTCGCACCAACGAGCGGCATTGCTGGCGCGTGTACTACGTCCCGCGTCCCGACGTCCCGCGTCGCGCACTTTTATCTTATCCAACGTTGTTGGCGAAACGACGTCTCTCGTATTTTATTTTTTGTATTTTTCTCTTTTTTTTTCCTCTCTGATTATTTATTATTCCTAAACCGTGAACACTGTATCGCAATAGTAGATACCGCGCCTCGCGACGGACTCGCTGCAGGAATTCCTCTCCGATCTTTCGCTCTCGTCTCGATCTGTACAGTTCTCTCGCGCCGTTTACTTGTTACGTTACGCTGGTAAAACGATAACGAGAACGACGATAAGATCGTACGCGCTTCGACGTTCGGGTCACGGTTCTCTGAAAATAACAGGGAAACAACAGACGTGTACAGAACGATCCATCGTTAGGGTTTAGAATAAATTTTTTCTATCGTCTTTACTACGCTTAAAAAATAAGGTACAGGACAGCCGGATTACGATGATACGTTGAATGAACGTGTAAGGGCGAGGTACACAGTTATACAGGTTGTTTTCGAATAACTAATCGCAAAATATTAAAATAAAATGTAAAATAAATGAAATATAAACAACGAATAACGAAACAAACAAACAAACAAACAAAAACAAATAAAATAAAGATGACGAGTTAAGCACCAATAGACTTGTTGTAGACACAAAAGGATTAGACATATAGTGTCGGTGGTGAATCAAGGATCTGGCAGCTTGTTCGAAAGAGGAACTATGTCGGGAGAGTACAAATTTCTGTAGGAGAAGTGTTGTAATAATGGAAGGAGGATATCTAAGAGAAGGGAGTTATAAATTTCGACGTGTGATATTTAGGAATAGAGAGAGATGACTGGTAATGAGTAAGGATGCGCATTAGCAGTGGTCATAACCATTAACATACAACGTCCGATGTAGGCGATTATGAAAAAGGGTTGTGATACCTTAAATTCTTGATAGGAACACTTGAATTCTAATTGTTTTCAGTATGGTAGGGCAATTAGTATGTTTATTTAGGAGATTGTACATTAAACTTACATCAGCCATTGTTCTTACTTGTTTTCTTTCTTCTTCTTTTTTCAGCAACCGTGTTCGCGTTATCTCTATAATTACATATTAGTCTTACGAATCGAAGTTTCTACATTCTAAGCTTTTTGCTAGGTGGACCATGTTAAAGATCCGTTTTAAGAAGAAGAGATTATATTATTTTATATTATATTATTATGCCGGAAGTAGTTATTAATTAATAGCAATGATATATTGTTAAACGTATAACAGTGATGACAATTGACCAGTCTACGACTAAATCGAATCATGTGCAATTCGGATACAAAGGAAAGGATTAAAAGGAAGACTGTTTTTCTTACATCACACTTCCAATGTCCCTAGATCTTCTTGTAGGAATGACGACGCATCTCTGATATCATTACTCGTTCGAAAAATCGTAACGTATCGGCAGACAACAGAAGCTAGTTACGACCGAATAGAATAGAAGTGACGTTGAAATTCCAGGTGGGGGATGGAGCCCGTGAACGTTTCAGGTGCTTTTTATTCCGCAGATATACCAGATCTGTCCGTTATGTACGAGTTACGATCCTGAAAGATCTCTCGATTGGTGGGGAATATTTGTCTATACTCTTAATAACACTCGGGTTCGTTCGTGTTAGCGGGAATAAGGTTGCAGGCCTCTTGTTTATTTTAATTGACACAGGACATCTTTGGGGTTCGACGTTTACAAGAATGGATACGGACACGGAAAGGACAGCGAGCGCGAAAAAGAAAGTTAAGGTCTCTTTTCCAGGCACGATCGACCGCGTATTATCAGAAAATAAATAATGTTGCGCACGCTCGTTGAGGATGGGTTGACGTTCGTAGTACTCGGCCGGCGCGGCGGTTGGTATGGTTGGGGGATGGTTGAGGGGAGGGGTGGTTCGAGTGGTTGGGGCGGTTGAAGCGTTCTAGCAACGTTCACTCGGCCAACGGGAATCGCGGAGAAGATTCAGTGGTGCCTGGACAGCGACCGGGGTGAAATCCGTTTGCATATTTTTCGCGCGTTCTCGTTACACGCTGCCGAAACGTTTGAAACTCACGGGCGGCATCGATCAACGAACGTTTCCTTATAGAATTCGGTGAGTCCATCAATTTATCAGCCATTCTTGTTCTGCCGATTCCATTCGATTCGATTCGATTCGATTCGATTCGATTCGATTCGATTCGATTCGATATATTCGATGACACGACGACGCTGCCGCCGCCGCCGCTCTGGCATTACCATCGAGGCACGTGTTTACGATTTACATGCAATCAACTCTAAGACGGTACGGGCCATTGTTTCGAATTTTTATATTTATTCGAGGCTCTTCCTTTCGTCCGGTTCGTAGAGAAAATGTCCTGCAAGGGAGTGTGTAACGCTGGTTTCATATGTATATCGCGAGACGCCGGTTTCGGGTTTCGTGGCAAACAGGTGAGAGGAAACTAAATGTATCGCAAACCGGAATGTAAACGGACTCGCGTACACATCGTGTTCTATACGCTACGGGTAGATTTTTGCCCATTTCACTCGCGAATATTGGCAAGGGAATCGCAGAAAAATACGCGAAACACGAAATGATATTGGTCGACTTTGATTACCGAGGTCACGAGGTTTGCGACTTCTATTCTTCTACGATCGAACGTTTACCCGAAGAGATTTTCTCAAGTCTCCGTTTCGTTACGAGAATCCTTGTCTTACCAAAATATTCCGTTTTCTCTTCGGACCACGTCTTCGTCTTTGATTCGTTCCTCGTTACGTTCCTTGTTTTCCATGTCGTGTTTCCCGTTGATAAGCCCTTCTTTTACTTCGTTCACGTTTCCTCCTGCTGGCTATGAAACTTTTTCCTGTAAATCACCGTACCGTCACGCGACGCATTTGCAGCTTTGTTCGATACTCGTGCGCCTTTCTCGGTTAACGAGCCATATAAAAACGAACGACTTTCTAGCCGCCGCCTATTTTTCTTTGCTAGTCCGTTTAAAGGGACAATTCAACAGGAACCGATATTTAATTAAGCTCTTTTCAGCCTGTTCGCCGAACTGAATTTCCGTGAAACTTGGCTTGTTCGAGATTTCTAACAGAGTTAGCCGCGGTACTTCTAATCTTCGTTGCTCCCTTTTCGCATAAAGTAAATCCCGTGAAGCGTAAAGCATAAAGTTTGCTACCTTTTGAGTAAGGAGTCAAACCTATAGACTATAGACTATTGACTTATGTATCGTTCGTTATAACCGAGCGGTATTTTCGATACGAGGAGAACACCGGAAGACGCTGGTATATCGAGGTCGTCTGGCCGGTAATCACGGTTTTACTCGCGGTAGGCCGACTACAACGGAACAGTTTTGCTGTGCACTTGATCCGAAATCTTTTCTTCTTTTCTCGTATACTTTATAGGTATTGCACTATTCGTATTGCGTATCTATACATAACATGTATAAACTTAACCATTATAATAACGCTAATCTATACATCATTTCAAACAGCATTTGGTATGTTATAAAGTACCTACGTCTTAACGAGGCTTTATCGTGAATTTCCCTTATTCGAAACTTACATCTTCTGTTCAGCTTACTTATCACAGTGATGATTTGGAAAATTTCAAATATATTTCGTCCATCTACATATATTACGCAAGAAACTAACCGTACGGAAAGACCTGCTTTCCAGAATTTTCACTCGAAACCGGAATCCGTTTTTCTATCTGTTCATTCCTGTTCCGCGGATCATCCGAATAGACGGAATCGATTTAAAAGAAAAACCTTCGTTTTATCGTTCAACCAGATTGCACGGACGTTCAAAAATGTTCTCGAGGTGTATCGCTACGAAAATGTTTGGTAAGGGAGCGAACGAACGGGACAAAGAGAACACGGAGATCGGTAGAAAAGAGGGTGAGCGTCGAGGAGGCGTCGACTCTCGGTCATTCGACGTAGAAATAGACCGGGCAACGGCGCGTGTCTCGTCTTTGATCGTTTCACGCTAGATCGGTCATCCGATACGGCCTCGCGTTCACGAATACCTGATCAGGCTCGATCGCTTGCACCCTAACCCAACCCGACCCTATACACCCGTATTCTTCCATGGCGGCTATACATGTATGTACGCTCGTCGAACCTTTACGCGACCTTTTCCCCTCGTTCCTGGGCTGGCTGCTTGCTGTACTCTTCGGCCCCGTTCGGTGTTGGCCGATTCGCTCGTTGACATCGAAAGCTTCGATCAAGGCGGGGCCCACCGTCGGTACTTGCGTAGGTATTACACAGACACAGAATATACATAGATACACGTGGATGATGAGTTCGCGCGTAAACGACGCGTAACGAACTTCGGCGAGACGACGATCGAACGGAGTCGGGATAAGCAGAAGCTGGAGCGAAGTAACGATCTTCTTTCCCGACGCCGAGGAGACGGTTCTCGTAAAAGCCGCCCTTACGCCGTGGGGTGTCTCGTCGTTACGTGAATTTTCATGCGCGACGGGGATCATCGTGATCGGAGCCAATCGGTTGGGGATGTCCGATCGCGACTGACATTGTCGTGATGATCGTTGGCACAATGTACATGCATATACGTTTGTTTGTCGTGAAATCGTGATCTCGACGATGCGACAACATTAGATGTTCATAACATCTCTGTTACGGGGTAGCTCAGAGCCAGCAAGAAGCCTGGCTGATTCACTTGTTTCTTTGTTCCGTGTAAATTTATTCAACGGACGAGATGACGCCCGATATCTATGTATATCGAGGGTTCACCCTGTACTTCGACGAGAAGAACTAAAAACGAATCACGTGTACGCGCGGTGATCGTGGAAGAGGAGGTAGGTTGACTTCGACGATTATCGACGTAATACAAACGGATTCATCGAAATACAGCCGAAATTCGCCGACAAAACAGGAACTCGGTGTTCTTTGTTTTCCGCACGAGTGTCGCTGTGTATTCCGATCGGAGTGGTGCGGACCTTTTTATTTTTTCTTTATCGAGAAGAGCAACGAAGCGAGGATTAACGACGAGCGGATAACCGTCCAAGCGAACGAGCAACCTGGAAAGCTCGTCGCAATGTAAATCCGTTTGAACGTTATCGAAGTAGACGAGCGTGCGAATAAGCTCCATTGGCCCTCTATGCCCGTCCGTGCATGTGTTTGTACCGAGCTGTTGTTGCTCTCTCCTCCTATTTCCTGTTTTCTGTGTTTCCATACGTATGCAAAGATTTTTTCCGTTTTGTCTAATTATCGACGAATAGAAGAAATACGGTGCGAGTCACGGATATAGCGACGATCTTGGTCGTGGAATTGCAACGAACCGATACGGAATCGAATCGAAACGGGACGGATGACAAACTCTGTATAGGTCTCTCGGTAGCTGCAGTTGTCGAAAAGAAGACGAATAGTTTCGTCTTATCGGTTCGATTCCGCAAGACTTGGTCGTAGCGCGCGTCACGATTCACGATTCGTAGAGACGCGACGACGCATCTGACCTGTAAAGTTGTTCGATTCGCGTGAACAATTCGTAAACGGGGGGGGGGGGATCGTCGAGCCGGAATCTTCAGAAGTCCCGCGAAGCAAAGGCAAGTAAATCTAGTCGTTTCCGGATATCCTCGGATTCCCGTCGGTTTTCACGAACCCCCTTTTCCGATATAAGCACGAAACGACGAACGGCTTTCGATATCCGCCGCATCGATCAGTTTCGGAAAAACGACCAACGTTCCCGTTTCTCGAGCAAACGCGAGGAATAACGCGCCTATCCACGATCACCGAGACTCCCTCGTTAAATCTTTCGCCTACTTCCGATTTATGACCTCTCGTTTAACGCGTTACAGGCAGTGACAATGGGGCTTGCATTTTTCAACCGGTAAATAAAAAGCGCGTTGATATCTCCTTATAAATCTTCTTTACGGTCATACATTAATAATAATAATAATAATAATAATAATAATAATAATAATAATAACAACAACAACAACTACGACGACAATAATAGTACCTAGTGATAATAATCGGAATAAACGAGGGACACGTGGACACGGTGTGTTCCAACACGAATAATTGTCAATTAAAAAATATCCCGGCAGCAGGCGATGCTAGGAGACGTATTGTGTTCGGGAGGCAGTGATTTTCGACGGAAAAACCTTTAATTAAACTACGATTATACGGCATGATTCGTATCGAATCGAATCGGGGTTAGATTGCCGCCGCGCGTGCAATTTCTGTAGGTGATAGTCGTCGGTCGGCACAGTATGTATACTCGTACGTACATATGTATACCTAGAACGAGAAACGCCGACCGCCTACCCTCCCAGTATGCACGATTCGTGTCATCGACGGCCAAAGCGCTAATTAGAAGCGCTAATTGGTCCGTAGTTGCATTGCCGGATAACAACCTCCCATCCCACCCCTCCGAAACCCGTTAACTCAACGACCGTTAGTAGCTTTTTCGCTTTGTGCAGGTTTTTTCTCCGACGCAAAACCAACGAAACTCGTTGGCACAGATTCTTGCGAATCAACCCTTTGCATAAAATAAGCTTTCACGCGATGGAAGCTTTCGTGGAATACGTATGTTTCACGTGTAATCGATGCAAGAGCGATACGCGGTCGACGTATATCGGATTCGAGAAGAGGAACACTGTTTTCTCTCGCCTCGTACCTCGTACCTCGTACCGTGTAGTCGCGGCAAATGGCCGATAAACGAAGCCCGCAACAACGATTCTACGTTCGATACGTGCACAACCGCGTCGCTATATCCAACCGCGAACCGCAAACCACGGAGACCAGGAACCACAAAAACATTTGTCGACGATAGCCAGACGAATCGGCGAACGAGAAACGCGCCCTTAACGTGATTTTATCGTAATTGCTCGCAAACAAGCTGAAAGTTTCGAGCTCCCGTATCAGAGAAGCGTTCGTGGATGAATTATCCACGAATTCGTGTTGCTGCCAACACGTTGTTGCGGTGGGCAAGACTCGCGGTTCCTAGATTTGAATCATTGTTTCAAGCGTGGCCCTGCTTTGAAATCTCCGGTGGTGGTTACTATAGGGGTGTGAAACGCGTGTCGATCGATTTATGTAGAGCGTTCGCAACGCTTTTAACGGGTGGTCTCTTTTGTTTCCTGTTCGACCTCGTGCTGTGTGCCCAACATAATTCCAGGAACGATTAACGGCGATTGCTATTTCGCCAAGCCATCGGCCTGAATGACGCGGAACATTGAAAACTCGCACCCGCGCGCTCACTATAGAAAAGGAGAGAGAGAGAGAGAGAGAGAGAGAGAGAGAGAGAGAGAGAACTACTAGAATAATCTCGATCGTTCGTCCGCGATACTCGGTGCGCCCAATTAATTGTTATTTCGAGCGTGTAAAACGTTCGATGGGGGCTGGTAATTTTCGCGTCTCTGATCGATGGACAATTTCCGTGGGTGGCAGGAGCTCGGACCACCGTTGGAAGATTCGTTAGCGATCGAAGTTGCGTCAGGAGAGGGCTACCGAGGAGCCCAGGGAAAATCGAGTTAACGTCGAATCGAGTCCAATCAGTTGAGAAGGGAGCGACGGGCGAGAAGAACCAGAGAAACGAGAAACGACAAGCAATAGGGGGGAAAGAAGAATCTTGGGAGTAAAAAGGAAAGGAAAGATCGAGAAGAGGATATTAGGTTTGTAGAGGAGATTGGTTATCTTAATGGGGAAGGGGGTGGTCGGATGATCGGAGTTAGATTCTTGGTTTCAGACGCCCTCGGCCCACGATGGCGTCCTGAATCGTGTTTGGTTCGCGATCGCGGTCAAAGTACGGGTAAAAGGAGAGGTGGCACGAGGAGAAGCAACGAACGACACCCACCAGCAAAGCATGGCCGACCTTGAAAGAATCAGATTAGTGGTGCTGGGCGGTGCCGGTGTCGGGAAAAGCTCGATCATACGCCGTTTACTGGGGCAAGGATTCACCGAGAGGTACAGACCCACCGTCGAGGACCTTTACTCGAGGGAATGCGCGCTCGGCACGCTCACGTTCAAGGTGGACCTGTTAGACACCGCCGGTAAGCGTGGATTACATACGGGGGTCACGCAAGATCGACGCGAGTTTTCTTTCCACCCTTTCCACGATTTCAGGAGATTTGCAGTTTCCGGCTATGAGAAGACTCAGCATAGCAACGGCGCACGCGTTCCTCTTGGTCTACGCGACGACCTCGAAGCCGAGTTTCGAGTGTGTCAAACAATGCTTCGAAGAAGTCAGAGAACAGCGGGCCGATTTTCAGGTAGGCAGATCTAAAGGTTCCCATATAGACGATACGATTTGTCGTACGCCAAGTTGCGCAGAGAGTCGAACAGACTTTTAGCCTGCCGTATTCTCTACAAATCGTATGGACTGCGCCATAAACGTAGTGCCGACATATGTACACGTATACACGCATATGTAGAGATTGTAGGACAGGGTTGTACGACAAATCGTATCGTCTATGGGGCGCGTTTTAGGACCAGATCGTAAAGTCGACCGTATACCCGTTACTGATCCGTTTCTCGACATCTTTCCGCAAGGAAGTGCCGATAGTCGTCGCCGGAAACAAGCTGGATCTCGCGTCCACGCGAAGGGAGGTGCCCATCGAGGACGTGAGCGAGTGGCTGTTCTGTAAGCTGCCCAAGCTTCGTGCGAAAGCGATGGAATGCTCGGCCAAAGACGATTACAATATCAAGGATGTGTTCCGGTGTTTTATCACTCTATTTAAGATCGTGCCGAAGAGCCACACCGGCGAGACGGACGAATCCGGCCTGAGACGAAGGTGTTCCGCGTACGGATCGCGCAGGTGCATATTCCACTCGCGTGTTTTCTTCACCGTTACACGAACTCTTTCCTATATTTCTTCTTTTTTTTTTTTTTCAACCCATGCCGCTCGACCTATCCGCGCGGTCGGAACAAACGACGAACGAAAAAAGGCTCGATGAATCGTCGTAACGGGCATCGATTTCCCCATCGAGTAATATCCTACATAGTATAAGTATAAAAGAATCGCATTATCGGCAGATCTGGCAGCCCGCACGGCAGAACGGGTGGCACCGGCGGCCCCGGAGGGAATTCACAGCAAACGGTCGCCCCGCAATCCTCGACGGTGCTCGCTGGAACGGAAGAGGTGCCAATAAAGAGCAAACCACGCAGTCGTAGCCTGATCAGACGCGCCTCCCGGAAAACGAAACAGCAGATCAGGGATACTCACACGGACGACTGCAACATTTCTTAACTCGTTTATCCTCCTAGAGCTACATATACCCTCTTACAACACGCAGACTTGCTCTCTCTCTCTCTCTCCCGCTCCCTCTGATTCAAAACACAAGAGTGATCAACAAGATGTGATACAATCGAATACACTCGCATCAAAGAATTCGTAAAATCAATCCCAAAATTTCAACTCATTTCGAACAAACATTTACATTGGAGTAAGAGCGAGAGGTGGAGGGAACGCCGCGTGACTGATGTATGCACCGGAACCTCCGGCCAGTTCCGATGTTTCTTTATTCAACTGTTACTTCGATAACCGTTCAACCGGACCGACAAACCATTCTTCGATTCTGATCAAGATCGAGGCGTGCTAGGCGTGCACTGTCATCTACGCGTTAGAAGTAGCTGCTCCTATTTAGTTGCCAGTGCGTGCCTAGGCGTGAACCGTAAACCGGACCGAAAGTGTCCCGACAAACGTCCTTTCCGTCCTTTTCCATGTTTTTACGGGTCTCGCTCGATTTCGCGTTGCTTCTTGTGATTAGATTCGTGGAAAAATACGATCGCCACGGAACGGGTACGGTCCGAAGGAAGAGGGCACAAACAAATAAACACAGCTGAGAAAAATCGAAAATCGAGTGAGCCGTGCATAAATACCCGTAAACACGATTCGTTCCATCGAACGAGTTCGAGATTTGCCTTTCGCTTTGATCCGCGTTCAAATTGATCACGTATTATTACAAGTTTATAATTTCCTATGAACCAACCGCGCAAACCAGGTGAACGGAAATACATCGACGGTAAAAAGAGAACGCGATACAACCGATTTATCGATTGCACGGACCCTACAAAACTATTGCTGCAAACGTGAAATATTTTTCCTTTTTACCAAACACATATTAATCCTTGTCGTTTTACCTTCGAACGTATGTATACACGTATGATGTATGTATGTATGTATGTATGTACGCATTCGCGAATGTACGTATGGATGTCTGCTGTGTTTCCCCGTTTGTCGCATGCGTGCGGCCGCGTGATCCTCGTACAAAGACACCTGACCAATTTTAATAAATACATATTTTACGACTGTCTGTTCGTCTAAACTGTAAGCGCAAAGCAATTCACTGTACACTTTGAGAATACAGTTTGTTCTGCTTCGTCGCGCGTACGTGAATGATCTCGAACGCGCTATTAAAGAACGGTAGCGAAAACAAAAAGCAGAAAAAAAGAACATATTTTTATTACTAAATGTTGAACTCATTTTTCTTCCTGTCTTGGTCTAGCGTGTGCTTCTGTAGTTGAATCCTACGGGCTATTGTTTCGTTGTAGCGCCGTCTTTCGAATTAGTATTTCTCCGTGATTACGTAAACATTTCGAGAAACGAATGTCGTATCGATAGCAGTGGAAAAAAATTGTATTCGAAAATGCAATGCGTTTAAATAAACGATAAGAAATATGCTTTGCGTATGTGTATCACGAGAGAAACCGCGAAAAAAGAGCGAATAAATATCGCAACGCGACCAAATTAGTTTTTGCTTCTTCTATATTATATACGGAAATTATCTTGTAATCTGTGATTTCTGCTGCTGTTGCTATTACTGTCGATGTTATTGTTGCTGTTGTTGGTTTTTATTGTTCTTGTTCTTGTTGTTGTGGCTTTAATCGCCGTCACCGTTGTCATTGTCAATGACATTACGATAACACGAAGAAATTGGCGTAACCAGACGGAACACGAGAAAGAAAGACAGAATCATCTCAAGAAGAAACGGTAGTGACGTTAGAATTGGCATCCGAATTACATTCGTTATCCGTTCCCTGAAATAAATACTTGAAATGTTGAACGTAAGCCTGACAGTGTTCTCCCTTCGCAAATGCTGTCGTATTGTGCTGCCTCAAATTCCGCTGTTCGAAAAACTTGAAAACCGAATAAAACAATGTCGAATCCCCGGCTGTTTTTGCCGCTTCTAGAAATTTTCTGGCGGAAACTTGATCTACCATTCCCACGGATCGAATGTATCTGAAATAGAAACACACACGATAAAACACGATACGGAAAAGAAAGTAAGAGTGCAAGAAAGATATTATTCTGGTCTGTACAAGACAGAATGATGCCCTTTATAGCGCGCAACAGCAGCTTACCGCAACGCAGGCAAAATGTGGCCCTTCGAGAGAAGGACTTCGATTATTTCTTCGTGAGCATTTCCCAATCTCTTGAGCATATCCAAGGCCAGCTGATGGGCAGCCGGATAAAGATTTTCCAAAGAAAGTAACAGACAGGCCAAAGGTTTCGAGTCAGCAACCACGTGATATTGCAGCAATTGATGAAGCTGGTAGTAAGCTTTTCGCTGCACCAGCGTCGTGATCACCAGTTCGTGTAGATAATGTTGCACGGGTATTTTGTGGTCCGCCAATGATCTGAAACGAACCAAACACAACAGATATATTGTACATATGTACAATCCGATACACGAACGCCAGAACCGAGACGATGAATATATGTACCTGATGTATTCCAGAAGAACCCACACCATCATTTTCGGTTCGATTGTGTTCTCAGGAAATTTCGATAATATGTGACTGTACATGTCGCTCTGATCGAGCAGAAGCTTGTACTTATAATTTTCCGGCGGTACGATAATGCTCTTCGCGTTATTTTGCAAAGGAGTTCCCATCTATACAAGAAGCATTGAAATACACGAGAAAGAATTCGGAAAATATAACCACAAAGAGGTATAGAAGTGGACATTTCACCTTACGGGACTTGGCGGCCCGACCTAATCTGTAGTACCGAAGCCTTAAAAAGCCTGTGATTTTAGCGACCTCTACGTTATGAGAACATTGAATCTACGTTATTAAAAAGGTGGGTAATAACACTGAAATGGTAATAAGGCGTCGACGCCCCAGAAAAGTGAGCCACAAAAATGGATTTGGTATTAGGTCTACTCTTATACCTCGTCGGTGATATAACGACACAAATGGACATGCGAATACAATACCTGACTCTGTATTTCACTCTCCAGATAATTCCTATACACAGAATTCAGCTTGTCGAATATAATCGGCATATCCATTAAACTAACAGGTAACTTCATCATGAAACTTTGCAGTACCTGTATCAACATCTGCTTCGCGTTCGTTCGTTGCGTTAAAAATTCGACCAATATCACTTTGTCCGTAATAAGTTTCACCAATGCTTCCAACTTCAGTTCCACGTACCTGATCACCAATCGGGGTCGAACAATGAGCATTCCGCGATTCGTTTTCCTTTCATTCGATTAAAATATGCTAACTGTGCTAGTTTCAATGCTTTAAAGGACCTACCTACCATAGGCAACCCAACTTCGCATCTATCACGATATTTGGTTGAAAAACAACCCAATTCGATGAATCTGTCAAGTATTAAGGAACAGCAATTGCGAACGTGTATAAGGACATTCGAGACCGACGTACATATTATGTGACACGACTATCTCAAGCAGCCGGCATAACTCATACGCTGGGTTGTCGGCCTCGATTGTGTAAAGTAAAACATACTCGTTCTCTTTGTCAAGGATACATAATTGGCAAGGCTGATACACCTGCTCCGACAAAGTAGCCCCCGGAACTTTCAAAGTGCATGGTTTTATCGGTTCCGCTGGTGCCACGCTGCTGTGATGCATTACTGTTCCGTCGCTTACTCCCGGTAGCATGATATCAAAAATCATCGAGGTCTGAAAAACGTATGCTTCGATTCCATTCCGAGATTCAAAATTCTAGTCATGCTTGTTGTTGGCATTACTCACTTTCGAAGCTTGATGATGAACAATTATTAGATTGTCTACAACGTTAATGGCAAATCTACCGCTCATATCGAGTTGCAAAATATGACTTCGCTTGATGGTTGTCATTCTAGAGAAATAAAGTAAGTAGATAGAGAAACGTGAACCTGAACAAATTGAACAACACCACGAGACACGAAAATATTACCCACTTATGGACGGCGTATACATAGACGGACGCGGTTCCTGTCGTACGATTCGCACACAGTTGATGCCGTAACAGAATAATACAAGGCGTTCCATATAGAACCGCCAATGCCACGTCCCTCTCAGAGACCGCCAGTTTTCCCGGTTTCGTCGTACCAGTTTCCACTGAAGCAATTCATTCGTTTTACTCCGCCCTCCTGTATGCAATCACTAATTATTTTGTTACAGCTTACTTTCAAATTTCGTCAATTTATGAAGATTTCCGGGCGTTACGTGTAACGCCTGCATCTGAGTCCCTAGTTTTCCAGACGACAATAGCACCAAGTGGCTTCGCGGACAGTAGACGAACCAATTTATGTCTAAGCTTAAGCATTTCAGTGCTCGAACATTTCGTTTCTCCGAGTTAACCTGAAATACGAATCAACAACACGTATTATACGTATGTACATATACATATGTAGATACGCGGCGCATCGTCACGCACGACAAAGCCAAATGTCGAAATAATCTCTGAAACGATCCATCAGTGCTCGTACTTGAAACAACTCGACTCCGTAATCGGTAACAAGTAGTATTTCGTTTCCGTGAGTCCAAACGAATCCCAATATGGTGGCGTTCTTCCCTTTGCAAGGCTGTGAATATTCAATGTTGTCTAAGCCAACAGTGGGAGAATAATTAACAAATTCCACCGATGCATTAGTACGTTGTATCGCAAGTATGTTCATGTCGGGAGAAAACTTGATGGAGAATACGGGTCCCTTGTCTTCCATTCGAAAATTTAGATTTTCATTTGGTCCTTTGACCAATACACTTGCGACGCCTCCCGACCGAACAGCAAATACCTAAATACCAACAATTCTATCATCGTTTCTTTGTCGATAATCACTCAGTATAGTCTAAATACTCACTTGTTGTTTCGAGTCATCGAAAAATACGTTAGTGAGACTACTGACTGATTCGAATCTGATCGGATCGGAGGACAACTCCAAGTAGTAATCATCATCCGCATCTTGCTCCGCAATTGCCATGTCACAGTAACTCGAACTGCTCCCTTTAGTACTTCAAAAAATCAACGGATTTATAAACGAGACCGACCTCCTCTTCCCTGGTTAATAAGACACATATTTACGCTAACTAAACACCTACGCATAACTTCTATTTAGTAATTACCAGCAAGTATTACGCCTAACCTAAACGCAACAAATCCTTGCCTTGTTACATATATAAGTAGGTATGTATCAACGACTATTGGTTAGAAAATAATCAATTCTCAATAATCACTCACTGTTCTAAAACAACTATTCAGCTCTTCGATGCCTACTTTTCGCTAAGTAGAAGATACACCATCGACAGTCAAAATCGTCAAAATATGTTTATACGGTTTATACGCAAACATTAACACAGACGAGATATAAAACAAACCTGATACCGAATGAAATTTTCTGTCAAATATTTTAGGGGCTCCGAAACCCCCTTATCATTTTAGTGTCAATACCCGACGTTACCGATAAAGCATGAATTCAGAATACAATCACAGACGAAATATAAGAATAGACCTAACATGCAATGTCTTTTCTGTTCCATTTCAAAATTCCATTCCTTGTTAGCGAAACCGGGGCAATAATGTACATATGTGTATAAAATGATCATTTTTTAATGTAATATTTTATCCGCAAAAAATAGAAGATTACGAGAGAAATTAAAAATTTATTATTAAAAAAGGAACAAAACCTGTATTGAGTCTAGCAGTCAGTTGGGATCGAAAACCCTGGTCATACAGTACAGTTTTACATATATGTATGTATGTATGTATGTATGTATGTATGCTATGCCCTGGTGATATTTTCCAGCACTGCTGTTGCAGCATTGCGTTTGTTCCTTTTTAATTGGCACGTTATATCCGGCTTATCGAGATTTTGGCCAGCCGACAATTGTTGCATCAATCTGACAATCTGTGACGAGTCAAGGTATATTTAATAATATTTAAGTAATGTATTCATCGTCTTATATAGCTAATTGTTTTGCAATAACAACGAATGTCGAACTGAGTGTACTTCAATATAATATAACCATCGAATCGATCGATCAATACCCCACATGGCGGATTTGTGTGACTAAAGTTCCTCTGTTAAATTCACTAATTGTTCGTACAAAGTTGTATAAATTGTTGGTTTATTGGTTTGAAGCTGACTTCTTCTGAAATCTCTATTTTGTTGATACAGTGTACGTGCAATTTACAGTTACAACCTACAAAATTGAATCAATATATGTATGTACTTACTTATGTACATATGTATCTTTCTATGTATGTACATATTTATACATGTAGTCCACAACCATCTGTTTGTCATTTATAGTACTAATTTTTATTTGAATAATACATCTTACTATTCTAGTTTAAAAAGTGTTTATAAGTCAGATGAAATTAAAGGAATTACAAGAATTTTCATGGTTGAAAGTCATTTCAGGAATACATTTTACGTAACGGGAAGAATATTTTTGAAATTATCTGTTAAGATTAAGCATAGTAGTGTTTCTTTCAAGCAAAATGTTCGTATAGTTGATTGCCAGTTTGTAAATTACACGGATACAACATATGTTCCAGAATGTCAACTTTTCTTGGGCTTGTTAAGGAAATACCTGGGATCTCTGTGGATCGTTTTGATGGAGAAAATTTAATGTCTTCCGCATTCTTTCTAACGCACTGTCATGTCGATCATATGCATGGTTTGTCAGATATGTTTTTCATGGATTTAGATGTATATAACAAACATCTTTATTGCAGTTCTATTACAAAGGCATTGTTACAGAATAAATTTAAGTGTAAAAACTCTTCTATTAAAGAAATAGATATTAATATACCTGTTGTTGTAGAATATAAACTACAGAATGAAGAAAAAATCCTTATTACTGTAACTTGTATTTCGGCAGGACATTGTCCAGGATCTGTGATGTTTCTGTTTGAAAGAAATAACGTGTCTGTATTATATACTGGTGATTTTCGCATTAATCCAATGGACTATCCAAACTTAAAAGGACTACATTACTATGAAAACTCTAAGTTACTACCTAAAACATTTACCAAAATCTATTTGGATACAACATTTTTGAGTAATGACTTTTCTTCTTTTCCTACCAGAAAAGAAAGTATAGTTAAAATGAGTAGTGTTGTTCGTGCTTGGTTAAGCGAAGACCCAATGAATGTTGTCATTCTGGAGTGTTCTGCTACATATGGTTCTGAATTTCTCTTTGTAGAACTTTCTAAACTTTTAAATATGAGAATTCATGTAAAAAATTATGTATATGACAGTTACTGTCGAATTGATCAGTTGCTTGATCATGTCACAAATAATCCATATAGTACACCAATTCATGCGTGTAAGAAAAAAATATCCCAGTCAGGTTTATTCTGTAGACACGATGTAAGCGACATAAACATTTTAACAATTATTCCATCTGCAATGAAATGGAGGGGAAGAGATACAAGTGTAGTAGGAGAATGGGATGATGTTAAGAAAAGAACATTTAATGTATGCTATTCCACACATTCCTCTTTTAATGAACTCTCAGCATTTCTTCAATATTTTAATGCATTGGAAATATATCCGTGTGTAGTTAAGCCTGAGAATGAAATAGAAATTTATTCTTTATTAAATGAAATAACAAACAAACCACATCAACGAGAGTCAGTTAAGAAGGAATATAAATTGGAATTACCTAATCATAAAGTATTAAATGACCATTCATTTAAGTCTAAATACTTTAGCAGCGATGAGGATAGTTTATGACATTAATTAATATTTTATTAATAATAAAATAAAATACTTTATTATTAATAACGTAAAACAATTAATATTTAGTAAATAAATTGTTGATTGTTGTTATATGTAGCTATTTTAATAGATCGTATTGTTACCTTATTCGTTATTATATAGCAATTTTATGTTTTATACGTCTTAACAAAAAGATTGTATTTATAATAAATACAAATTACTTGAATGTTTCTTAGATTTTTATTTTTCATGCTTAAAAGGCTACATTTCATGTTGCAGAAATTTCCTTGCATTCTTCTTAAATAAGTCAGTTAAAAGATGGAAAAATCAGCATTAGCACAAGAGAAGGTATGGTTCGACAAACCATCGTACGACAAAGCAGAACGACTATATTTTGAGAAAATGGCTAAGGTAAGTACTGTTCTTTAACTTATACATCAATGATATTAAAGTTATAAAGATAATTGTTAACAGGGGTCGGAAGATGTTTGTAAACATACAATGCATTTACTACAAAGAATGTTCGATTGTTATTAACTTTCATTATAAGAGTTGAACGAGAATACCTTCAAAGTAGTTATATGAAAAATATGTTTACAAACAAAAAACTTTAAACTTGAACCCCCAACATCTACAGCTAATGTATGCCTTTTTGTTTTGCCTTGTATCGTATCTCTTTCCTTTTTTTACTAACGAAAAATTAACACTTTTAACACATACTTCAGGGAATATCTGGTGATAGGGAACACTTTACCTGCTTCTCACTTCACATGGTGTTTGGAATTTTATTTCTCTTATAAAAATTGAATTCCCTTTAGAGTTATAACTTCAAAAGAGTTACACAATGTAATTATTTTTTAATACAAACTTCTGATGATAAACATGGCACATTGTTATAATAAGAAGAATATAACAAATTTTCTCTGAATTTTTTGTTTAGTCGTTTATAGTTATGATTGCATACAACATATAGTTTTAAACGATGACATATTCAGTGCATTCAGGAAATTGCATGAAAGTTGTACTAAAACTATTTGGTTTCTGTGCAGTTGATTTTGTAACATTAAAAAAAAAATGCATTCAGCATGTAACAGAAACATGCCTCATTTAGTTTGTATTCTTTACATTAATTGTAAGGTATCAGTTCCTACTTGCATAGCTTGAAACATGTTTCAAGGTTGTGACCCATAAAATAATGGAAAGCTGCTCCTTCAAATCTGAAATTTCTGTAACTAATGACTGTGAAGATATTTTGAATTGTAACTCTTCATCGAAAACGAAGTTTGAAAAATCTAAAGATAATAAATTATTAATTTCTGAAAATATTCCAAATGACAATCTAAAAAATCTTAAAACAAATGTTTCAAAGTCAAATAAAGATGAGAATGAATACAATATACAAAAAAGAGAAAACGTAGAAGAAAGGCAAAAGTCTGATAATATTGAGAATGACATAAAAAAGAAGGAGAACATTTCTTCGAATGATATGTCTAAGAAGTATAATACAAAAGAAGTAAAAGAGAAAAAGAATAAAGCGGATACAAGACATAGAAATAAGGGAAAAGGAAAAAATGATATTAAGGAAGTGAAAGAAAATGTTACACCTCCAATACGGAATGAACAGCAATTACCTAATCAGGTATACGTTGTACTATATATGTTACTTAATGTTTTGTGTGCATCCACGCAATATTTATAAAATTTTATTTAGTTCGATACAATATGCATTTCCTTCCCTAAATCTTTAGTGAAATTTGCTCACTATATTTAGAATATTTATTGAACATTATTCTTTTGTATTACACACTGTTAACGTACAGTGATCACCATGCAATTGAGTACCTCCACATTTCTATTCTTAGCACAATTATTGTGTGTGCCTGGTCGAAAATATTATGTACATAATTATTCTTTTGTAATTTAGCACTTTGCATGTTCTTCTTTCATCAAAAGAAAGCTTTGCATGTATGTTCATTGGTTGCATATGTTGAGAAAAAATATAATTCGTTTGGGACACAGGTATAATAATAACAGATTTACATATAGAGATAATAATTCAGTTGTTGCAATTTCTTTTTCTCTTTTGTAGTAAGTACAAGCAAGTACGTGTTAATATGCCGTAAGAATGCCAGTTGTGCCTGTATTTTTTCAGTTTTAATATTGTATAATGTCTGTCTCCACTTGGCTTCTGTAAATTTTTTATAACTCGAAAAATAGATATTACTAAAGAAGTGTACATTCATATTGGTCAAATTTAGTCCATAGTCACTCGAATTTGCTAAAACATATCTCATAGATTGAATTTAATCAAGATTATTTACAAATCCTGGTGGAGGTAAGATACTAGATTGTTTATAACAGTCAGTGTGGTCTGAGTTGATCTTTAATATTGGTGGATACAGGGAAATCAACAAACTACTAGTCCAATCTTATCTGCTGGTGGAAGTTTAGCCAATGAGGTCGCCAAGGCTCGTCAACATATTAAACAATCTTTACAGTGTGTGAGTACTGCACCCTTTGCACACTCTTATGTAACAAATTTTCAAACCTGCTTACTAATATAATATCCAATATTAATGTGAATCTGTGGGCATAATGTTTAACTGTTTTAAAATCATTGGTTTTTATAATTTACATTCTATAGTATTTATATACTACTATTATGGTGTTACAATTATTTTACAGATGGACGATATTGCAGCTGTTGCTGGTCTCATTACTCCGAACGACAGCAAGAAAGATAATGCAGATCAAGGTGAATACTTTACAATTTAAATAAAGCTGTAATGTTCATTGTGCTGAAAAATTTTTACCATAGTTATAGAAGAATTAAGGAGTATCATTAACAAACTGGAGAAACGTGTTAGAGCCCTTGAAGACAAGATTAATCAAATCCCAAATGAAAAGTCTGATCCAACTCGAAAACAAAAACAAGAAAAAGCCGATGACGAGGATGTTGATCTGTTTGGTTCAGATTCCGAGGCAAGTGGGCAGAAATAGTGCAAAAGAACACTAAGCAGTTAAATTTCTCTTTACAGAGTATTTGAAATCATTTCTGCACGATACATTTAATAGATTTCACACACTTTTTCGAATAGGATGCAAAAATATTTAACTCCGTACGTTATTTACGAGACATAGTACACCAGATATTCCCAGAATACCAATGTATTTGAATATATTTTTTTATTTATTGTATGAATTCAACACACGGACACTATTGTACAATTAGTGAACCTTAAGCTTTTTATTTGTAGCCCATACTGTAAACTGTTTAAATACTTAAATTGCTAGGGAGAAGATGCAGAAGCTGCAAAAATTAGAGAAGAAAGATTGGCTGCATACGCTGCAAAGAAATCCAAAAGTGAGCGGCAAATATGTTAATCTCGTATCTTGTGTACCATTAAATTATATCTACATAGTAATAATTTACAGAACCAGCATTGATTGCCAAGTCAAACATAATATTAGACGTGAAACCGTGGGACGATGAAACGGACATGAAGGATATGGAAACCGAAGTACGAAAGATTGAGACTGATGGTCTTTTATGGGGAGCTGGTAGGTTACGAACATAACTACTCTTATATATGATGTACCGTCTAATTTGAGATAAGGATTAAAGTAATTGTTTCTTTTTCCAGCGAAACTTGTTCCTCTGGCCTTTGGAATTCACAAACTACAGATTTCCTGTGTGGTAGAAGACGAAAAAGTTTCGGTGGACTGGCTCACAGAAAAAATTCAAGAAATTGAAGACTTTGTACAAAGTGTCGACATTGCAGCTTTTAACAAAGTATAAAAGCATTATAAAAACTCTTTTGGTAGAAGATATCTGACGGTTCTAATTGCAATCAAGCATTGGTCTGTTGTGCCATCTCTTCATTCCACTAGCAATATCTACCTTGATGAGTACATTATGTACATCTTATATGTTAAATACGATTGTCCAGAAATTATCAGAAATCTAGCCGTTGTATTCCAATTTTAATACTCGATGGGTCAATTTACGAAACAATATCTAAGAACTCTAATCAATAAAGATTTTAAACTGCGCGCATCATTGCATCAGTGTATTCAATACAAACTACTGTAATCTGTAAATGTTTATAATATAATTAAACGTATGAAATTGAAATGTGAAAACGTAATGAATTCGTGTAAAAAATGAATAATTAGAAAGAATAATGATATTGCAAGTAAATAATGCAAATTACTAGTATCATGTTTAAATGTATGTTTCGGAAGTATTGTTGTCACAAATAAAAATTATGAATATAATTTTCTGTAATCATATTTTTTACGTTCAAAACTAACACATTCAACATCCGAATTTTATGCCGAGATGAAGCAGTTCGTATTATTTCTTTAGACACCCTCTGTATAACAAGATGGGTTTATTATCGCTAAAGACCCTCTAACACCCTCTAAGGTCTCTCCAGGTCTCAAACTAGCGCGTCGTAGTGCTGCTATCTAGCGGCATAAATACAATTTGGTACAATTCACCATTTACGGCTATGGACGCACATGTACACACACACACACACACTTGACAATTCGACGTCAAGGCAGTCAGGGGAAGAGGTAGTGTTTGTATGAATAAATAAAAAATTAATTCTGGAATTTTATTTCCTACGTTAGGAAATACAAGAAACTTACATTTCAAACATGACTATGGCTATGCTGCAACGAAGAGCTAACGTGAGTGTACAAATTCATGCGTGAAATTTCGTTGTCATCAATAACTATCAACCTAACCTGTTTTATTTGTTATTGTTTCAAACGTTTTTTTAACAGGTAAGATTACCTCCTGAAGTAAACAGAGTATTATATATAAGGAATTTGCCATACAAAATTACGGCTGAAGAAATGTATGATATTTTTGGAAAATATGGAGCCATTCGGCAAATCAGGGTGTAAGTACTTTTGATTTCAAAATGTAGGTTGAGAACTAAGATAGAATAAAAAGTTTCATTTCCATAGAGGTAATACGGCTGAAACAAGAGGAACTGCTTTTGTTGTATACGAAGACATATTTGACGCAAAAAATGCATGTGATCATTTAAGTGGTTTTAACGTTTGCAATCGGTACTTAGTAGTTTTATATTATCAAAGCAATAAGGCATTTAAACGAGTTGATGTGGATAAGAAGATGGAAGAAATAGACAAATTAAAGACTAAGTATAATCTAAACGAAGAAAAAAAGTAATTGCACAATAGTTTTTAACTAAGCTAAGTTCAAGTATTAGTTTAAGAAACTTTTTGTTATATGATTATCGTAATAAGTCGTTTTGTAATTAAATATTTATGCTCTATGACTAACTTTAGAACAAACGAAATCTTTAAATGTACCTTATGTGACTGTATGTATAAATATAAATATTGACTTTGTACATGCGAATCAATAAATGCATATAATTTTTTAATTCGTCTAATCGAAGTGTGCAAGGATTAATATTTATACTCTATATCTGGAACAATACGAGTATACTGTATAATGTATGTATAACATCGTGTTTCCTGGTGAACACAGTCAGCTTCAATAAGTATACATTTGAAAGTTTGGAAATTTTGTACTGTTTCATGGCTCACAGGAGAATACATAAAAACTGGAGTGAAAGTGTTGTAGCATTAACATAATTCCTACAATTCATACGACTTTTACAGCTGGTTGCGGAGTAGAATTTCACCGGTTACACGAGCCTTGGATAATAGCTGCGGTTTTAGCGAAAATTCTACGCCCAGATCATTGAAACCGATTTGAACTGATGCGTATTTAGAATACAATATGCGCATCTTTCGTAGCACTTTCATATTTTTGTTCCATTACGAGAAAAATTTTAAAGGGAATCACGAAAGGGAGCGTAAGTTACGCTGCATAACATCCGCTAGGAGGAGCCGTGACCAGCCGTGACCTCCGCAAGGTAAACCAAAAAGATATACATTCACCGTTAAGAAGCATGGTTCGCGCGTGTCACGCGCGTAATTCAATAGGTCGACCAAGGTCGACTCATCTCATCGACACTAGCGTTTTGTAACGTGAACCGGACAGACTACAGTGTACTTGTCCGACACTCGATACTGGATGGTGGCGGAAATGCGCGTGTAGTACGTGTAGTATTATATACCATGTACACAGCGGTAGTACATACACAATGATGCACGCGTGCGCATGGTGGACGCACATTTGAACACAAGCACGCCGCCAGCCGGCTAGTCGGAGGAACATTCGATTTCAGTCGAAAGCGAAAACCCGCTCAGCCTGCCTGGTTGATCGTGTTGTTGCGCGCTCGGAAACGTTTCATGCTAAATACGGGCACATTATTACGGATGTTCCCCATTTATTCGTCGAAATCGGCGTGTTACAGTTCGTATAGTCAAAACGTGAACGGTACCATGACCACCTAAAACGATTCAATGTCGTTTGACTGCTGTGGTAGCGGCGGAGTCACTGGCGAGACGTTCGCGGACGTTCTTGAGAATGCGTCGCGAGTATCACGTGCAGTATACGACACCTTTTTCCATGACGTAGATCATTTTGTGTATGGTTGCTCGTGGGTGTTCCTCGCCGTTGCTGTTTTTCTGTTAACAAGTTTGATCACTGTACGCCACGTTCACGTCACGCCGTTTAGACAGATTAGACGCACCAGACTTGAAGAGTAGCGCAATCTTTCGGTACACCGATGAAACTTTTTGTTTTGACAGTTCTATAGCAGCGGTATAAATAAGCACGGGTCTGACGTACGTCGTCCGGGGGCAACTCTGTGAGCTGTGTGTGTGCGCTCGCACAAGCGACGAGATATGTACATCCGATGCACGAGAGAGAGTTGATTTCGTAGAAACCAACTTACGCCTAGATAATTGCACAAATGAAGTTTTAACGGGTATAGCATTCATAGGTAGACTGCACCATAAGGTGGTCTGGTCCTTATAAACACTAATAAACACCATATGGTGAAAGAATTGGAATTTTAGAAAGTGTGAGGGTGAAACAGACGCCGATGTAAACATACAAGATGGCTGCTCAAGTCACATTTTGTCAAATATCACATGATTTAATGGTCTTTTCGTTAAAAGCAGAGCAGCCCACCTTGTCTACCACTATCATACTATTGTAGAAATGTGATTTTTGTTAATTTATCACTTCTGTAAGGCGTAAGTTAGATTCTACATTTAGATGCGTTCATATTTAAGAATAGTTAAGAAAGAGTATAGTTCAAAAATTCTTCGCTAGGGGCGCTTACGGTATATGTCAGCCACTTGGGGGACGTATTGTTCCATTCTCGGATTACTTCCGCTCGCGCTTTTCTTTTCCTACGTTCGGCGAAAATCGAAATCTCGCCTCGGAACGTATTCCATCGTTCTTCTGATGGGCAGAATTGTAACGAGGGACATGTGGCAACAGCGTAACAAAACCCTCGGTACCCAACGTGATGGTAACAGGGAAAAAAATGTATTTGTAGGTAGTACCGTTAGATGTCGCATTATCAAGCTGTCTCAATTACCGATTATGTATTTTCGCTAGCGCCTGTTTGTTTACATCTGTGCTTCGATCGATTCGGAGTTGGCCCCGAAGAAGTTTGCGCCCTTCGGTGAAATTCGATGCTCGAATGTGTATACATGTAATCAGTTGACAATAAGATACCTTCTTGTGTCTGCATATAGAGCGCTTGGCACTGTTACTTTCCATATAGGAATTATTTCAACAATGAAAACACATGCTGAGAGAAAATTTGGTCTGCATCTGGCGACCGAATGCAATACCGCGGTTTGTGCATGTTATTGGATCCATGAGGGGTATGTTTCTACAAATAGTTGTTTTAGTCTTATCGCAAATGTCGACCCGCCGTAAATAAGTTGCGAATGGCGTCGTTTGACGGGGATTATCACGTGGTGACAAGAGAGATATTCTGTTTCAGTTGATTCGGTTTCGTGGTGTCGATGATATCGTATTTTGGTGAATCTTAACGTTGATCGCGACGTTCAGCACAATCAACGGGTTACTACGGTGTGTCGTCTGCTAACGATGCGGATATCTAACGTCAGTCACGAGAGACACAACGGAGTCGCGTGGAGAAGGAGGAGGAATGAATGAACAAGAAGAAGCGAAACGGCGGAGACGCGGAGCGAGGGGATGCGACGACCGTCGTGTTCCGACGACGGTCTGCTGCTTGCTTACCGATTTGTATCGCGGTGAGTGTACATACATGAGCGTATACACATACATATATACACACACACACACACACACACACACAATATAATATATGTATACATATATACTATACGTATTTATTCACGCGATCAACTATGTCCATTGTCGTCGCAGTTGCTCCGTACACGTTGCGTACACACAACGACGTTATTTATGCGTAGTCGCGTTCACGCAGTTCTTACTACTCACATGAACCCGGTCGTTGGCTATCGAATGCTGCTGCAACGTATCGCCGCGACGATGGAATTCTAATTATCGAATCGAATAGTGGGTTATCGCTTGCCACGCTCTCGACAAGGTTGCTAGTGCAAAATATCGATTATCGATGTTCGTAGGTAACTTCGCGTACTCATCGTTCCACCGTTTAAAATGAAAGAACACCAATTTGTTTGAAAGAAGAAGATTTTGCAACGATAGAATATCATTCGATACAGAGTGTTGATGTGTTAAACGGTAATATTATGACGTTGAAGCAAATGAAAACGGAGAAGCAATTAAACGTGGGTATGAAGAAAGCGTTATCTTTTGTCCGGGTGTACTTACTATTTCACTGTGAGCAGCGATTCTCTCGTTTGTCTCTGGAAGTCTACGAAAGTGAGTAGGTATCAAGTAGGTACTCGAGCAAGTATGTTTGTCAGCTGTCTGGATAAATATGTCGTAGTGCTACTGGCTTTTCAACAGCTCTCTTTACATTAACGCCATAGGATTAGAACATGCAGTTTCCTCTTGCCCTTGTCGTCGAAGGAAAATGGGAGCAAATGCAACACTTTCCAAGACATCGCCAAAATACTTTTGCTGTAATTCGTTTCTTTCTTTTTTTCAGTTGCAGGTGGTGTGCCCGTACCTTGTCGGAGACGAGCAATGCGGTGAGTCTTGATTTTTTTTTCATGTTACTTCGTAGAATAATTTGAGGTTATTTCTTGGGGTTGCGTTATGGTTTTGCGCTATCCGTTTCTACTATTGTCTCGTTCCGTCCTCATTCCATTAGTTGCAGACAGTATGTTGATACGCCAAGTGTTATTCAATTACAGCGTAGCTGTATATTTCATATTTTTTGAATAGTATACAGTGCGATGGTTTTCGTCGTATCAGGGATCTAATGGATTACAAACAATGAGTCTTCCAAATTTGTTGCCATAGTTGTATGTATATATACAGCTTTCGATGTTGATTGAACGAAAATCCTCGATTATCTCGAGTCACGATTCATAGCCGAATAGGATATCTATCGACATCTTAAGTGAAAAATCATTTCTGTGTGTCGTTAATGTGTGTAAGGGTGATTGAATATTGTTCGTCCAACCATGCTGAAATCGTGAGACGAAAGAGTGGTACGCGGTAAACAAGTGTGTCGATCGCGGTGGCGCACGCATACATGTGTATATGTATATGCATACGTAGATACATATATACACGTGTTACCGGCCGTATTTGCATTGCGTGCTGTTATGCTTAATTAGTGGTTCTGCCGGTTGCATACGGAAAATAACTTAATTATTTCTTTGCGTAATTAACCGATGAACGCGCGTTAAACGGACCAACGGGTTTCTCTTTCAACCGCGTACTAATTTGTCTCAACTAACAAACAAGTAAAACTGATTGTTTGTACTTACTGGCATCGATAACCATTGTCAAAGGTATAACGTAGTTGGATGTATTAACAATTGGCCGAATTGAGACTAGATGGATGGATTATCTTTGGCAGGGCGTTACAGCGAGATGAACCGCGATGGAGTTATTGTGGACGTAAAGATATTGCAGTCTCTGTGTACCCTGGATCTAACGGTCTCATGCTTTGCGTTCAGCAATCGGGTTGGAACCATTTGTGGTAATATGTAAAATATTCACGTTGACAAGGTTGTATTTACCAATTGTCAGCACTGTATTGCAAGTTACTAGATTGTGTGTCCGTGGCCCGACGTCGACGATAGAAGATAGAAGTGCGGCTGCTTTTCTGAAAAGCGAGGGAACGGACTATCAGAAAATCATTAGTA